AAGACATCTGACCCCAGTGACCTTGAAAGTGGGTCAAGGTCATTTATTTGAACAAACTTGGTAGCCCTTCATCCCAGCATGCTACAGGCCCAATATCAGTACCCTGGGCCATTTGGTTATTGAGAAGAAGTTGTTTGAAGATTTTAAAGAGACATCTGACACCAGTGACCTTGAAAGTGGGTCAAGGTCATTCATTTGAACAAACTTGGTAGCCCTTGATCCCAGCATGCTACTGGCCAAATATCATCTTCCTAGGCCTTTTGGTTACCGAAAAGAAGTTGTTTAAAGCAAAAAAACTGACGCCGGACAGACGGACGATGGACAACACACCATAACATAAGCTCACTTGCCCTTTGGGCAGGTGAGCTTAAAATGTAGGAGAAAATCTCTGGACAAAAAATCAAATACTGAAATGAACAAAGGGAGACACAACTTCATATCATGATGATAATATATATACAAAGTTTCAAAGAGATCCGTTGAAAAATGTAGGAGAAGATTACCGGACAAAAATCAAATACTGAAATAAGCAAAGGGCAATTACTTTTGCAAAAATTGTTGAATCAAAATTCTTGTAAGGGAGACACAACTTCATAGCATGATTATAATTCATACCAAGTTTCAAAGAGATCGGTCGAAAAATGAAGGAGGAGATTGCCGGACAAACCAAAGTTACATACCATAGTAAAAAAGATTTGTGCGTTAAAATTCAAATAGTATACCTGGTAACAATATATAGCAAGTTAATTGCCCCTGAGATTGCTTATTTGTCCTGTTTATTGACATCAGATTTTGATTTCCTTCACACATTTTGAAGAAAACAAATTACTGTACCAGGTACTAAATGTGCTACAATAATTAAATATCAAAATCAATGTATTACTAGTGCCTGTTTTAATAATGGAAGGTTCAAAACTTCTTTGACACTTGAAAAATATTGTAAGGCAACAAAATATGTTCAAGGCTGTGAGCTGTCTGGCCAAATTTGCAGAACAATACAATGCAAATAAACAAGTATGAGCAATTTAAAATATGTGTAAGCCACATGACAGTTCTGGTAACATGAATTTGATCAACTGACAACATCTGCACAATTAACAACCAACTTCACTCTCAGATTTATCCTGGGAAATGAAACATCTGTCACTGCCCTGCTAACGTAATTACCACTTAGACTGAAGTAATGATTCTATAATTCAAAGTTTTTCCCAAGCAACCAACTATTTTAGACTTACAATAAACCTTAATTTGCTATATTGCTATCATTTGTCCAGTCAAATTTTGGCATTATAAAGGGGATTGGCAATATCAAGAAAGATGCTCAAAGCAACTGTTAAAAAGTCCAATCAAAGGGTCCTAAAGTCATATAATGGTGATATTAGTAAATTGGCAAATGTATCAAGGTTTAATTTTACTTATAATAATTAAATTGCCTGAGAAATGCCTCAAAATAACAAATCTCTGTAAACAATAGAGCTGTGACTGATGATGTCATTCATTTGGATGCTAAATTATAGTATACTATATACATCTAGAATATGTAAATGTTATATCTTAAAGATTCCAATCCCATTGTCTTCCTATAACCCTGACAATCATCAAATGTTGATGAAAGATTACTGATAAAAGTATATCTGTCAAATCTGACGACATCTATACTCATAAACTCTAGCACAAAGGTCTTTAACAATCCAAAACTGTTCAAAAACGTTTTTGTCAGCATATATATAGCATTATGTTAAACTGCCAAACTTCCTGCTGTTGACAGTACCAAAAGATTAGGCAAATGACTCAGTATAATATTTTCATAGTTCATGCATGCAAGATTTGGCACGTTGACAATACACAAACGAGAAATGTTATCAAAAATCTATAAAAACTTTTTAACAATTACCATGGCCTGGTTTGATCCATTATATAAGTCAAAAGCATTTGATTTATATAATGTTTCTAATGTTTCTCTCATGGTTTCAATCCATATGAGATTCTATGAAACGAGTCTTTCAAAGACTCGTTTCATAAAATATCATATGAAATGAAATCTCATGCATTTAAGATCCTATATAATTATTACAGATGTCTCTGCTTTAACTGAATGCCAAATTTGGACCTCATAACTCATTCTTTCCTTTTTGTCTCATTCATTCCTCTTAAATTTGATTGAGGGGTTGGACTAGACTAGACAAGCCCATCAAAAGTATTTTTTCTGCCATGGTGTTCCAAAATTTATTTATTCAGTACCTCAGTGATACCAGGGACGTATACTCTATATACTGTCCCTGGTGATCTGTCAACAGTGAACTCACTCGCGGCTTCCAGACAGAGATGTATAAAGCAATAGTATATATGTCTCTGTTCCAGGACAGCCTTCAGAGTGACCAAGAACATACATGTACGTTTTACCGAATAAACATTATTATTATTATCCGTCGATTAAATTACAAAATTATCCATGTAATGTCCGAACAAGTTAGCTCCCCTCTCCATTACTGGCCTTAGAAATATGAAGGCCTCTTCAGGTTATTGTGATTAATTTTCCATATCCCCACCCCAACCGGTTTCTCTCATACACACATATAATATGTATAGGACACATTTGTGTAGGTTGCATATGACAGGAGATACAGCAAATTATTCGATAGTATTGTAATCATATCGAGTGGAAAGATACATTAATTACCCCTGTTTGGGCCCCTGACTAGTAATCAACCGAACGTGGAGCGTACTAAATGCTGTAGTTTCCCGCAATAATAATTCATTCAAGCTACTTAAAACTCGACTCTTTTGCTTTAACTATCAACATAAAACATATATATGCACCCGTGCTGGAAGTTCTTATTCGACACAACATTAACTCTGGGAATGTAACAAGTCGGTTTCGCCTCAAGTTGTCACAGGTGTCGCTGTTAATAACATTTTTACTTCAACCAATCAATGGTTCGTATTTCGACCACGTGACATCTCAGGCGCGAAGGCTGAACAAGAATAAGTTGCAAAATGTCGACTTCTGTGTTAGAGGCCACACAAAATGTGTACGAACAGAGGTAAATACTAATTTTACTTACATATAATCTTCAGACGTTATTTCTTTTAAATATACAACATTCTGGTGCCATCCAAATATGCCCACGAGGATACATTTTTTTTTGGCCGAGCAGGGGGTATCGTATGAAATTATGATAACATTGTAGGCTATAAAACGTAAACATTACGACGTGGTATGATATATTGATGTTGTTCTTTAGCCGTATTTAACTGTTTTTAAACCAATCATTCTTTTACTAACCGTGTTTTATATTGGCCATATATAATGATATAACGCATACATTTGGAAGGCTCAAACACTTTACATTCATGTTTGTGAATGTGATCAATATAATGTTGATGTAGACTGCTGAATTCTAAAAGAGAATGATGCTGTATGTAGCATAACGTGTTGGCCCGCATTCCAATCAGTTATTTCTTTTTATCCTATCTGTTTGGGCATATGTTGTCCAATTGATAAGTTATTAACCGCATATAAACTAAGACATTAATAATATGCATCGTTCACCATGAGGATGATTCCAGAAAAATCACAACACTACATGTACAACATAACATGCATGAATGCCTAATACCTACTTAGTCAAGAACAACATTTTTAAAGAATTCATTTGCTTATTTGCATCAGCTTGAAATACCAGAGACAGTCTCAAATGTGAGGACTATTGCCACTAAGTCCCAGGGGTTAACTCGCTGACATTTCGGAATTGGCTGCGTGAACCACAGGGGCATGGATCGCTTTACTTGTAATATTAAAAAATGGTGGTCTCCTCTACTAAAAAATACAAAGGGATATAACGGCAGACTGAAATCCATAACCCCCTTTTCTCTTTCAGCTAGTGTCATCCACAAATCTTTGTCGTCCATATTGGATATACCTCAGTTGAATATTGTAGACAAGTGATTTATTTACAAAAGAAAACCATGTCTACAATTGTCGGGACACATTAAGTTATCCAAAAGGAAACCATGTCTACAATTGTCGGTACACATTAAGTTATCCACTGACACCGCTTAAAAGTCGCAATTACTCCCTTTGTATTTTTTAGAAGAGGAGACCACTATTTTTTAATATTACAAGTAAAGCGATCCATGCCCCCTTTGGTGAGAACGTAGCTTTCTGACGACGTGATATTTTTTTTATATATCGCGTTGTCAAAGGAGGCTCGGTATGAATATTAGCTGTACTATCACAGAATATTTACTTTTATCATACACAAGGTGGTGTGAACAGTGCCTTCAAGTTTGTCATAACTGACATGTTACAGGGGTATTAGAGAATGTGATTGATCATAATCCCAGAATTTTTGAGGATGGAAGACTGTCTGCTTATCTCTGCAACCCCCCTTTACCCAATGCAAGCCTTATATCATATAGCATTAAATTTTAATGTTCATGCTTGGTATAAATTTGCATTAACATTGATGATATGACACAAAATTTTGAAAGTCAGTATTCATTTTATATATTGACCTTATTAATGTTAAGTAAAGAATTTATTATTATCTCATATAAAACGGTTGTGTGATCACTACTTTTGTTGTCTGTCAATGATGATTAATTTTTTGTTTTGTTTTTGTTTTACAGATTTAATTGCATTGTTTGCCTGTCTCCACGTCTAAAAATGGTTTATGGAATGTGTCAGCATCGGGTGTGTGAGGACTGTTTATACAATGATGATATCAGAAGGCCAAGCTTTGATAAATGTCCAGCATGTTTGAAGGAAGACATGTTTCCCTTACTCAGGTAAAACTAAAAAAAAGTTCAAATGAAATACTTGAAAATCTCACAATATTTAATTGGTCATGGGCAAGTCTGATCTCTCCCTGACAGTAGATCTAGACTTGTAAACTAATGACAGACATATATGTGCACTGTGTTGACTGCTTTAGTATGCAAAATGACACTTGTAACACATTATTACAGTTAGCATAGTCCAGACAAATTTGTATGGAATGAATGGTTAACAGCAACCCTTTTGTGAATGGGTTTTTGGGAGAAAAATACAATGATAAAAATGTATAAAAAAAAATGTGACTTTATAGGGAAAAAAACGTTTGCTACATGTAAAAATGTGTGAATCATGATATTTGTGACCTTGTATCAGGCTATCAACTTTGTATTTGCTAAGTCAAATGTTGCACCTTATGGAATTGTACTTATATTTACACCCCTTTCAACAATGAAAATGAATTAGTGAAAACAGTTTTGGCTTTTCTATTCTATATGAATTCTCGGTGATTATCTGGTAGCCAGTCATATAAGGTGCTTTGATAGCCCAAAATCACAAACAAAACATTGTATTTTTGGAGATAGAGCTCTTGATGTCTGCTGTAACAAATCATAAGACTGGAAATTAGACAAGCTCAAATAATTTTAAAAAAGAATCCCAGTAACATGAATGAGCTCTAGATGGGCTTTTGGTATCAGTTTTTTCTTCCAAACTTTTACTGCCGACTGCCTATTGAAATTGGGAAGGTAACCCTCCTTTTTCTGTTTACTTTTGGAATGTTTAGTGCACTTGTAGCTATTAAGGGAAGCTCTGGTTTTAGCAACAGTAATAGAAACCTTGCTAACTTTATGGTGGTTGAAAGAATATATCTGAGCTACTGTACTTACCAGTGTCTTGTATACATGTACATTTTACAGACCTGATATTCCAGAAGATAGCATTGAAGGTCAGAAGTGCTTGGGCGTACGGTCATGTCCAAATGAAGGCTGCAATGTGGAAATGTGGGAATGGGAAGTGGAATCACATCTTGTGTAAGTATCTGGAAATCTATATACGATTGCTAAAGTAGTCCAGAGAACAGAGTGGGCGAAAAGCATCCATTACTATTAGTATCGAGCTACAGCTGATATTTATCAAGTCATGTAAGTTAACATAATAGTTACAGGTCAAAGAGAGAGAGGGGCATCATTTATTAAACAGGTAGTTCTGGAAAATAAAAGCCATTGTTAACGGGGATTTTGGTATGCCTATATACACACAATGTTACCCATATCTGTCCTGTTTTGTCTTGTTGTAATTTACTGTCATCAATCTACTTCATTTAACATGTTAATTCCAGTCAAATCAAGCATCATACAAAGGTCATATATGAGAACACTTTGAATGAGTTAGTGATTTAGAGAACAAGGTCAAGGCCAAGGTCATTTGGTGTTTAACCATTCCAGTTACATCATTCCAGCAACTCTATTTGTTAACAGGATTTAATCAACATAACTAGTCAAGAATTGCAATACCTGGAAGGCTTTTACAAGTCTTTATCTTAGAGTGAACGTTCAGGGTTGATATTGCTTTATAGATTAAGAAATTAAAAAAAAAAAGTGACATTAAATTGCATTTCTTACAGATGTTTTCTAGTGGTTTTTTTTTGCCTTTACATTACAGTAAATTCACTGGACTGTGAACATAGCACTTTTCCAATAATTGAAAGTGTTTTATTTCAGAAAATGTTCCAAGAATTATTGTGAATGTAACAAGTGAGCTTTGCGTCAATGATTTGTAATTATAAGTTATATTTGATATAGATAGACATGTATTATCACTTAGGAGTAAACAGAATATTTCATCATAATAATAGTGATTTTCATATGAAACCATTTAACTATGATTATTGATAAATCATCTGAATTCATCTTATAACAGGGTGTGTCCAAACAGAATGCAGAAGAGTGGGGTAAAAAAGAAGAGACCATCATTACCTGAAAATTGCAGTGAAAGTGAAAAGAAACTAAAATCACAATCCAAAGCAGAGGTTGGATCAACAAGAGTGCTAAGATCTAAATCGTTATCAGTACGTGTGTCTGGGACAAGAAGAATGTACAGACGTTCTCGGAATAGCACCAATATTTTGACATAACTCTTGAGAAAGAAACTTTGTAATTGCCAAGTTTTGTGTGCTCTATTGGTAATTAATCGTCTATGTATCGCCCATACCCTACTTGAAAGCCCAACATTTACAAATTCCAGTTTGAATTTTATTATTCACAATTTCGACATTTTCTCTGATATTCACACTCCAACACACCTGCATTTGTTGGCGTAAGACTATATAGATACATAGTAAATTACCTAGAGCTGATGATTGATTATAATCGGAAATTGAATTCTGTTTGCCCTTTCTGATTCCGATTATCGATTACTTAATCTATATAATAGACTTATTATTGAAATCAAAGTGTCAAATTTATGCAATGTAAAGTATGCATTGAAATTCATTTATTCTTTTTTTTCTTTCTATATGATTGACAAAACAACATTAAAGCTGCTCGCAATCAATTCATTATAAAATAATTAAACCTTATGTATAGTCACTTGATATAAAAATAGTGTTTTCACTTTATTTTGGTATTCAGTCCCATGAAAATATAAACCAATTATGCAATCGGTTTTAACTTTCGATTACAAACCGATTGTTGATTATGATTTTAAACTGACAGATTGCCCATCACTAATATTTACTGAATGTATAAGGACCCCTGTGCCACTGCCGTCCTTAAATGACTTAGCTGTTTATAGGACGTCAAACTTTCACAAAAACCAAACCACTGCCAATTCTATAGGCATGCATTGTAAACTTTTTTCCCAACTTAGCTCTAGCTTTAATAAGTTGCTTTCTGAAAAGAAATCCACACCTTTTTTGAAAAAAAGGATAAAGAAAAAAAAATATAACAGTGTTGTGAGCGTAAAATAAGGCTGGACAAGAATTCACACTCTGGACCGCATGCCATTTTACTATCACTCTTGCCATCTAATCTATCTGAACGGAAGTCCCCTGGCTCGGTCAAATTGAAATTAAGGGGAGATTACTGTATGTAAGGAAAACTATAGTGGAATTCTCTAGTGTTTATAATTAGTACTACTTCAGATAGGAATGTGTGGGTGAGCAGGCGATTACCAGAGAAACCAATACAGTATTAATGTTTTGTCCTGAATTATATTCTCCACTGATTGATGTGTTCAGTGTGAAGTGATGAGGGGAGAATGTGTGTGGTATCAGGATCTTAGATCTGTATGCTTTGTTAAGAAAAGTGTTATGAATTTTATAACATATTTGAGAAAAAGTTCCAAAAGATAGAGTGTAAGTATAAATATGTAGGTGAACTGTATGCAGTGAATGTATTTCAGACTTGTCCTCTGATAAGACATTGGGACAGCTAGTGGTAGACTGAATGACAGAATTTAAACTTATGTTATAAATGTATACGTGATGAGTCTAACAGTGAAGGTATACTGTTGGGAATTGCTTAATAAGAGCTGTTGTGATAAATATCTTAGGACAAAAAAGTACTTTCTTGTCACCCCCATCAACCACAAAATGAGTGAAAGAAGATACAGCTTGTGAAAATCTTTTGTAAATATTCATGGAATGATTGCCAAAAAAAACACTAATCTAAATGAACATGGAATAGACAGTAGTGATAAAATGATTCCATAAATATTTCATAGGGTAAACTTGACAGTACACTCATTCCATCCTCATATTACTGATTCTACCTTTATATACCTTCCCATTCATTTCCTTACTAGTAACTTATTGTCGATATGTTATCATTCTCTCAAATTATATAAGGTTAATTATAAATTACAATGCTTTGTCAGAAATATGGTGTAAATAAGGTAATTATGTCCTCTGTGCATATTTGTCAGGATTATTAATCACAGGATGAATAACACGACTCTCCAGCTAAATTTTGAATGTAGTAATATAATTTTTGAACTCACTGCGTTTATTGATTTTTCTGCAAGGAGAGTTATTTAAAGAAGTTATTTACATGGATAATATTTGAAGCTGTTTAAGTTATAATACTGTAATTTGAAAACATGTTAATTATGTGTCCAATGTTTTTTATGTAAATCCAATGGTGTATTTAATGTGGATTTTTTTCTGGGGCTGACATTGGTATGCTGTGTCTGAATACTACTATGTGATACCCAAATTTAATTCCTTCATGCTGTTTCAATCTTCACACTATTTTTCATGCCCTGTACTTCTTTCTGTATTTCATATTCTTTTTAATGTGAGCCCCAGGAATAATTCAAACAATGTGAAAACCGTTTGGTGCTCTAAGGACCAAAACGCTGGTTTTACAACATTTGGCGTAATAATGTAGCCATATTGAGTACTGTTGATATTTATATGTATACTCCTACCCAGCTCTTGCCTCGAAGAGCTGTCATTCTGTATGTCTATCCAGCATATATGCAGTTACAGTTGTGGGATCGCACAACGTTTCACGATGTGCGGTGTGCGCACGATGTGTGCACGGTGTGTGAACGGTGTGTGCACGATGGGCGAATGATAAAAAGCTGGACGATCATTGTTTGCGCACGATGGACGGACGTTGTGCGATAACAATCGTGGTTGGTGCAAATTGAGGAATGCCTTAACAATTTATACGGTTTCATGTTTAAACATATAAACTTGATGTTTGCGTATGTTTCTATATTCTAGCAACATCTATAAACTTATCTTTCTGTCTATACATTCTTATATTTAGAAATTGTGTTTTCTGTGTTTTTAAACAAACTTAATCGACACATGTAAAATTACAACACAATCCCGTATACAGGTAAACATAACCACTTTGTACATGTACCTGGACCGTAGTTTTCTCCCCGCCTGGGGCACTTACGTAACTCGTCGGGTAAGGCCGGGGGTGTGAAAATCCAGGTGAAGGGGAGCTATAGGCAAACGAATGCAAATAACAAATACTATTCATTACGGTCAAACGGTATCGCATATCAGCTCTGTGTGTCAGGCACTGGTCAGGTAAAACTCCGGACACTCATCAAATTGTTATTTACCTGTTCTGTTACCTTGGAGCCAAACCCATTCTTGACAGCCTAACGGTCGCTGTAATACTGTGTAACACGCATTGTGAAATTGTATAATCTTGATTATTGTGATGAGAAATTACAGATATATACACAGTGTACATTATCGCATACAAGCCTTCCGTATTTTTGTCATTCCGTAATTTTGATCTACAAATGATACCAAATCGCACAGTTGTGCGGAGAGAAGCGCACAACGGGGCGAACGATTGCTAAATCGCACAGTTGTGCGCACCATGTGTGGACGATGTGCGGACGGTGTGTGAACGATGTATGCACGGTGTGCGCACGCTAATTTTGGTGCGTTGTGCGATCCCACAACTGTACATGTACATTGTACATACATGTGAGGTAAATGCATTGATCAATGGGAATCATTTTCTTCATATACCAAGTTGATTCAGTGACAAGTATAATATTGATTTTTTTTTTGAAAATGTACTTGTCTTTTATTTTTGCACATATCTTTTCAATTTAATGTTGTCAAAGACTACTTAAAAAAACAAGGTAAAAATTCCTTTGTCAAAGTCTTGTCCCATTTTCATGAAACCGTTCTCGTGCTCAAGTAAGATTCTGTGCTCACACAAGCTTTCTTGCAACTTGCATGAATCTTATGATACCGTCAACAAGCCAAGTCTAGATATTTAAAACGGTATTCAGCTATAAGACTCTCAAAAACTCCTCCAAATCATTTATAAAATGGGAGGATTAATTATTTCATCACCGCAATGAAACTTCAAAAATGTGATTTTCATCTACCTGTGGTCGTTTCAGCTCGGCGCAGGTCAGTCAATAAGGCTTGTCAGATGTCTAGAATGAAACTTGAGAGATGTGCACATCAAAAGGGTTAAAGTGATTGTAATACTTCTCTTACAGTTATTGATGTGTGTAGCCTGATATAAGGGTTGGACAATATTCTTAGACACCATTGACCAAAAGATTATGGTAATTGCAAGGAGTTGGAGGTCAAATTATTTTGGTGAAAAGGGTGTTTTTCACCGACCTTTTTCACCGCTAATGATTAAGGACATCTTCAATAAAGTATGATGCAGTTACAGCATCGCTTTGTAGTAAGCACAGCTTATAATTACAAAGGAAAGGAGACTTTAGACCAGTTCAACAGTATCCATTTTACCTCATTGTATTTCAGTGTGTGAATTACATACATGTATGTGATATAGTTGCTTTTCAACAAAATTAGATTTGTGTTTTGCTGCTCTTTATGTGAGCTTAGAGTATATTTGGCTAATCTTTAGAATTACATGTACTGAATTTTCAGAAAGGAGCTTGTATTTGATTTTGAAATTAAGATACTCGGATAAGACACGACTTTGAAAATGTGTTTGGTATCAAGACATTACCATGCTTAAATGTTATAAAATGTATACTGCTGAGATATGTACTGTTAAAATTGAGGCATTTTTGCTTCTCATTACTTAGACAATTAGCCTAGCTATTTATGTTCTTGTCCGTTTATTAGGTAATAATCCTGTTTATAATGAGGCATTTTTCGCTTCTTTGAATTTGACAATATTGAATTGCGTAATTTATAAATATTTTTGTCAACTATGTAAAGAGGATATTATATCAATAAACTCATGTTAAATATGCATCATGTTTGTTGTCTCCAGTTCCTTACATGATATATAAGGACCAGGAGATTTTAATAGCTCATCATAATCATTGGACAGTGGGTTGTACAACTTGTCCTTTGTCTGTCATTCATTATCTCTCCATCCTGGAATAATTCTCGAGTTGTGATTACCATTACCAGTACATCAGGTGAATTATGGCATCAACTTCAATCAACTTCTTTTGAATAACTGAAAGATCTAGTCTATGACATGTTTTGAGGTAATAGGCCAACAAAGGTTTAAAATAAAGTTTTCCTTGTCCTACATTCAAGTCACGCCACGGCAATTTGTTGTATCCTTGAGCAAGATACTTTACTCCGCTTGTTCCAGTCTACTCAGCTGTAAATGAGTACGTGGTTGGGCAGTGCTAGAATTGTTGAATGCTAGCTGTTAGCGCCGAAATGGCAGCTCCGGCTGTATGTTCCCCAGGGAGTTGAGAAATGTACTGGCTAGTTGCTAAGGCCCTATAACCATGAATAATAATTTGTGAATCGCTTTGAGACGACGTACAAACTAGGTTGTGATAAAGCGGTATTTAAGAACCTCCAATTATTATTATTATTTATGTGGGTCAAATATGTAAAACCAAAGGGCCAAGTTTCTAATATTTGGCAGATAATTTCCTTTTTTGTAGCTTAACCGAGTTTTATGAAAAAAATGACATTGACTTTGTTTTAAATTCACAGGGGTCAGATATGTAGGCCTAGGATAATGAATATTCTGGTATAAAGGGCTATCAAGTTTGTTCAATGAATGACCTTGATTTGATTTTAAGGTAGCAGGGGTAAAATTTGTTAATACCCTTTAATAACTTGTCAATAATCAATTAGTGTAAGGTGATAATGTTTGGCTTAAAAATAGCACACTAGGATCAAATTTATTAGTTTGTTAAAAAAAAAAAATTGGCTCGCATGTAAGGTCATAGGGATCAAATAATTAAAACCTTTAACTAAAATATTCTGAATAACCCAGAGGCCTGGGTAGATGAAATTGCCTTAACCTGTTTTCAAGGTCATAAGACAAAAATTTGTTCAAGCTTTGAAATAACTTAATGGTGAGAACTGGTAAGTTAAAAGTCAATGAAGATTCATAAGGTTAAGAGTAACAGTATTTTCCAACAGAAATCTGTCCTTGAAATTCAATGGTTTATGCTCTGTAAGTGTATATATACATGTCTAATATTTTGGTG